CCCAGCACGGGCCCCAGGCCTGCAAGTCAGGAGATGCGCTGTCCAGCACGGGCTCCAGGCTGCAGGTCAGGAGATGGCGCTGTCCCCAGCACGGGCCCCAGGCCTGCAGGTCAGGGGCCTCCCCCCAGGACCTCCCCGTGGAGGGCGTATTCACTGGGAGGTGGCGCTGGCTTAGGACACCTCCAGTCTTGTTATTTTGAGACACATTTTGGTCTTCTCGGTTGAGGTTCAGAAAGCCACCCTGGACGGTGTACCTCCTTTCATGGCGCAAATTAAGCCATTCAGGCCTTTCTGGGAGCTGCTCTCCAAGCCAAGTGAGCGGACAGGCCCCCCGGGGTGGGGGGGGGGAGGGCGCAGCGCAGGCCATGGCCTGGAGTGGAGAGGAAGCATGACCTTTTCGGGGACCCACATGTAGTTCCTGAGGCGGGGTCCCCGAGTGGTGACAAGAGCCACGCCTGCAGAGGCTGCGCATCCTAAACGTGGAAGTTGTCAGTGGGGTGTGACCCCCAGCCGGGGCAGGGTCGAGAGCAGAACGATGGAGCAGACAGGTTGCTCTGGCTGCTTGTGTGGGTGGGGCCAGAGAGTCGAGTTTTTCTTCAGGGGTGGGGTTGCTGCTCTTGAGGCCCTAAAGTCTTGCCCCTAAACCTCCAGTGGCCCTCAGCCCCCAGCGGAGCCCTCCCTGCCAGAGCAGCGAGTAACTGTCTCCCCCTTGCAGGCCAGTGTGACTTCGGCCCCAACTGCAGATTTTCCCACATGTCCGAGCGAGACCTGCAGGAGCTAAGTATCCAGGTGGAGGGTGCGTTTTGGTCGGGACCAGGGATGGGGTGGGGGGGGCTGCTGGGGGGAGAGTGTAAGAGCTGAGGCTGGAGTGTAAGAGCTGAGAGAGCTGAGGCTGGGGGAGCTACCTGTCCCCCCTCACTTCCCCATCTCTTATGGTCACCGTGTGGGGTAGTCTGAGGGCTGCTGGGGCGATGGGGTGGGTGTCAGAAACTGACACCTAGTGGAGACAGCGATGAGAGGGGGGGGGCCGGGAGCAGAGGCGCGCCCCCACTGCTTCTGCTACACCCCTGGTGCCCTTGGCGCACGGCTTAATCTCAGAGGCAGTGTCTTGGCCACTTTCGAGATGGAGGGAGCCGACGCACGCGCAGTGCTGGCCAGGCCTGGCCCAGAGGAAGCGCTGGTCCACAGGGTGGCATTTTCCTCCGGCCCCAGGCTCATCCCAAACCGCCCCAAGACTCTGACCCATCTCACCCCCAGCTTGTTTGAACTCCACCCGTTGCTCGGTCTTCACTCTGAGCAAAGGCGTTTATAGGACATTTTATGAGAAGAGCAGTCAGGCACCTGCCGAGCCGAGACCCACCCGCTCTGCCCTGCGCTGCGCCCCACGGCCACCCACACCCGGGGTTGGACTCCTCCTGAGGCCCAGGCTCCCTGCAGGCGTTACCCTGTGTCCAGCTCCAGCAGGCTTGGGGGGCAGGCAATGCTCTATCTCCATTCGATGGGGAAGCAGAGTGAGCCCTCCCCGAGGGCTCCCCGCCCTGGACCACCATGCCTCAGAGCCCATTATCTCTGTGGAGTGGCTTCATGGGACAGTGGCCTGGCCTGGGCCAAGGACGCCTGGCTGGGAGTCTAGGGGATGAGGCCTTCCCTGGCTGGGCCTGGGAGGGGGCGGCGCGGTGGGGACAGGCCCGCGGCCGCTCCTGGCTCCCTGCCTGCGCTCTCTCAGGAAGGGTCCGGCTGTTGTGGGAGGCTGGGGTCTAGGTGGGGGTGAACCTGCCCCTCACTTGCCTCTGTCTCCCCATTCCCACAGAGGAGCGGCGGGCCAGGGAGTGGCCTCTGGACATCGCTGACCTCCCCGAGGGCCATCTGGAGGACTGGCTGGAGGAGAGAGCCAAGCGGCTGAGCTCGGCCCCGAGCAGCAGGTACAGGCCCCCTGCGTGCCCTCCTCCCGTGTCCTCCGGGGGCAGAACCCCAGCCAGCCCGCCCTGGCCTGGAGCTGAGCAATCTCCATGAAGTGCCCAGGCCTCGGCACTGGACAGGGACTCCTGCTCCCCCGGCAGAGCTCCCCAAGGGCTCCCCGCCCTGGACCTCCATGCCTCAGACCCAGTTACCTCGGCAGAGATGCTTCACGGGACAGCGGCCTGGCCTGGGCCTAGGACTCCTGGCTGGGCAGTCTAGGAGATGAGGCCTTCCCTCGGCACGGCCATGCCCTCTCCGTGTTCCCATCTAGAGAGTTCGTTAGGCTATTTTACAATTGA